TATAAAGATCAACAATTTCCAGCTCACCTTGATTGTCTCCATCCAGTTTGTAATTCCAACAAACATTGAATTGATATCACGTGCTGTGGTTGGAAAGTCACCCCATTCTGCTCTAAACTCCTCTTTGAATTTGTCACCTCCACCATTATCCACGTGGCTCTCAATCGAGTATCCATTGTTCACAAACGTTTCGAAATCCAAAGATCTTTTGGAAACGGCATCTGACAGAACAAGAGCCGCTACAGCTTCTCCAAATGGCTTTGATACATTTTTGAGATCTGTCAAATTTGTGAGTTTGGGATCCATACTTGTTTTGATGTCTATAAGAACTAGTCTGATGATGTACAATATCTTAGCCGATTCTGAGGTCGCCTCATATGTGTTTTGAACATCTTTCATAATTGTGTGATTCTTTTGAATTTGATCAATCTTCATCAAGGCTCGAGCAGCTGAGGCGACCTTCTCAAATCCATTTTCCAAGTCTCTGATACAATCGAATGCAGCAATATGAACTGGAAACCTATCCTTGAAACGTATTATGTTAGCCGATTCCGTGGGCATCATATCAATTTCAGAAATGGGGACTCCTTCGTTCACAATTCGAAGATCAGCTTCCAGTTTCACCAAGTTCCTTCTCAACGTCTTTAGTTCTTCTTTGGATGTGTCCGTGGATAAGTATGGTCGAACTTGGAAATTGATAAATTTCCTCGGTATCCTGAATTCTCTCAATAGCTGATATCTTCTTCAATAGGATTCCAGCGTTTCCAGCCACTTTGTTAATCTTTTCGCTGACAGCGCCTATAGAGAGTGCACTAGGACAATCTGTGAGTTCATTCATCACTGTCACAATGTCATTCTGAGATGGCGAATCTCGAGCTGAAAATTGAGATTTGAATTTAAAAAAGTTATCATTAGGGATAAAATAACAAGGTGCTATGCTTACTTTTTTAAAAAAAATTCTAGTTTTTTGGACATTTTTATCAATATTGACACCCCTTGTCAAAAATTCCAGTTTATGTAACTTTTTTAGCTTTAAAAAAGTTATGATTGTGTCACCTAACAGTTAATCTATTTTTAACAACAAAAAAATGTCAAATAGTTTGGATTGTACACGAATTTTGGCTCGTCAAGGGGCAAAGCAATTCGAAGCCCAAAAATACCTGACAAAATCCGAATCTCGTAAACACACAAAGTTATGATCCAATAAATGAAGGAACCCGCCCCCCCCCCTTTTTCCCACTCAACCTACCGATAAGTTTCCAGAGTTCAGAAATGAGTTTTAACGATGATAATGTGCTGTACGTAGACACGGATTTCCAATGCCCATCCAAGTTAATCAACTCCATTCCAAGCCTAACAAATGACTCCAAAGAACTCAAATCATACTTTACAACTTCTCGAATCCACTCGTTTGATCTATCAGCTTTAAGAGTCTCTACATCTTTGAAACCGTTGATAAAGCCAGAAGTATAGGTGATATTGGTCCGATGACGCATGAACCGAGAGGAAACGAATCGAGAAATCACATCGAGGGAAGATTCTCCACCTATTTCCTTGAGTTCTTTCAGAGCTTCGAAATCTGTTTTCAAGGCATCTTGATTCTCTGGCTGCATGCCATTATTGTAGATTATACCATAATCATCGTATAAGTTCAACACTTTTCCTAATGAAGATAGTGGCTTCAACTTTTCCACTATTGGAGTGTAAGAGAGTGCAGGTAATGACGAAACTGCCATTAGCAGATCATCAAGGTATGAATTCAACTTGCTCACTTCGGAATCCGTCAGACTATCATTTTTTAGTAAACTCTGCATATCAGCGATTTTGAGATTCTCGAGTCCAGAAACATCCATCGTTTTCAGATCATCTAAACTTTTGTAGGATACTTCATCTGGCAACCGGCTTAAATCAACCGATTTCCAAAGTTCCTTAAGATCAAACATTTTGACCAACGCTTCCTTCACATCGTTCACCTTGCCCGATTGTGTAAAATCTTCGAGCTTGAGGAAAAGTAGCTCTGAATACTGGGTCTTGAAAGTCTCCAGATTTTTCAAATCTTTCGATTCAATATTTAGAAGTTCTGCGATGACGTCATCCACTGGAATCGATCCATCTGATAGACCGACTTGAAGGGAGATGGCTGTGACGAGCAAGATCTTCAATCACTTCATGAGTAGGAGAATCTGAAAATATAGGGCTTTTAAAGTCACAAGAAAATCAGTCTGTCAACCTGCACACCCGGAATAATTCCAGAGCTTAAATTTTGAAACATTTGAAAATTCCAAACAAATGTTTCTCATAAATTTGCCTTTTCATGATTTTTCGGATTTTTTAGCTCAACATCATCCTAAACTATATGAAACTTTCGAAAAATCAATTTGCTTATATTTGAGAGCAATTTTCCAAAAAATGCACAAATGGCTCAGTGGGATTTTCAAAACTTCCACTACCAATCTGAGCACCCGGGTTCGAGTCCACTTGGTGGCTAATGTTTTTGCATCTTTTAAAGACAGTTTTCCGACTTAGCATTCTAGAGCTTAAAATTTCATAGCATTTTTTTTTCAAAAATCTGCATTTTCATGACTTTGGGGATTTTCTTTTAGTTCAAAACTATCCTAAACTCTATTTAGTTTTCAAAAAATCGAGTTTCCGAAATTTTCGAGCAATTTTCTGAAAAAAAAGACATCCGAAAAAAGGCGCCAAATTCAAATTTTTGAGTTAAAAACTCGAATTTATTTCTCAAAATCACTCACTTCCAATGGAATTCCTCACAAATGATAAATCTAATGAGGTGGCGGGAAGATCATCGTCGAGAAATCGGTTTTCAGTTGTATTTGCATTGTAAGAGTTTGAATCAAAGTTCGTTGAATATGACTTTGATATGATACCTGAAATTTTGAAGATTAGAAAAATTGATTTTTCTAGAAAACTCACTTAGAACAACAATTACTGACCAGAAATCGTAGATCATTATTGCTATGTACTGAGAAAACTTTGAATTTTATCCAGTACTGATATCTTGTGATTCGTGGGTTTCGTCTGTGTTATGTGCATTGCTGGCGAACTTTTTTTTCTGGGTTACCGGATTTTTTTTTCACGAGGTTGTTTTTTTTTAATTTTACAAAAAAAAAATGAAAAAACGTTGAAAAATTGGATGTCAGGTCAAAGGTGTCAATCTGGACAAGATTCAAAATTTGCCAATTACTGACTCCGCCCTTTTAAATGGAAATTTTTCAATAAAGTATTTCTTATCCTATTTTTTCAAATTTCTTTTTCAAATTCCAGGCTTTCTGGTACTTTCAGTTGAAAAGAAAAATACAATAGCTTTTCTGGTTTTTGAGATATGCGCCTTTAAAGTTTTCGGCCAGAGGTACTGGAGGTAGCCGAACCTCAAAGGCACATAACTCAAGAACTACAGTAGCTAGAAAAATGCGTAAACTACAAAACTAAAACTCAAAGAGAGTGCTTCCTTTTTGTAGTTAATTACCTTTTCCTACCTTTTCTAGGTTTTGAGGTATGCGTCTTTAAATTTGGCGCACCTCATCGCTCGGCATGCGAACGGTTGGGAGTACTTCAAAGACGCATATCTCAAAAACTACTGTAGCTAGAAAAAAGTTGTAAACATAAAAACGTTGAAAATCTAATACTCTATAGTTTAATAGTTGACCACTTTTTGCTAGATACCGTAGTTTTTGAGCTGTGCGTCTTTAAAGCTGGCGGGTCCCCTTGCATGATGCGCGCCATACGGACAGGAGGCAGCCCAACTTAAGGCGCATAACTTGAAAAACAAAATCTCAGAATTTCAGAATCCTGAAAATCTTCAGATTTCCTCATTTTGGGAACTGGAACTCCAAGAATTTTGGAACCCCAATTTCCAAGATGTCATAATCCTCGAAATTTCAGAATATTCAGGATTTCAGAATCCCCAAAATCCCAAATTTTCAAAGTGATTTCTGATTAAAAAAATTTTTTTTCGACTAGTTTTGTTTTTCAGCATGTGAAAATTCAGAATCTATATATATATTTTTTTAGTTTTCGAAAATTTTCGAAATCTCTTTTTTTTTCAGTTTCTGTAGTACTAAAAATCTCTTCTCCTTCTTTTCCCAAAAAAAAGGGTCGTAAGAAGTTGTCTAAAGATCTGCTCATCATCAGAATTACATCAGAATTTCGGATGAATGGAATCTTAAGACAACGCCTTCTTCTTCTTCTTCTTCTTCTTTTTTTGTTCCGGAATCTTCTAAAAATGGGGATGGGCGAGCCGTCATGTCATCTTGTCTCCCGGACCCCCATCAGATGGACCCTCCATTCAAAATTACTAAAAAAAAACTTTTTTTCATATCTTTTTTTTTTGAAGGACCTCTTTGAAGACGTCACAGAATTTGAGTGGCATTGGTCACTCAGAATTTGTTGGTCAATAAAACTTTTTTTTGGAATTTAGACTCTTAGATTCTTAGATTCTTAGATTCTTAGATTCTTAGATTCTTAGATTCTTAGATTCTTAGATTCTTAGATTCTTAGATTCTTAGATTCTTAGATTCTTAGATTCTTAGATTCTTAGATTCTTAGATTCTTAGATTCTTAGATTCTTAGATTCTTAGATTCTTAGATTCTTAGATTCTTAGATTCTTAGATTCTTAGATTCTTAGATTCTTAGATTCTTAGATTCTTAGAAAATTAGGTCATTTTGTTGTTTCAAACTACAAACTACAAATTAGATTTTGGCAACAAAAAAACCAGAAGCAGCTGAAAAAATGCTCAAAATGTTTTTTGTTTAGGTGGTATTTGAAATGTAAATTTTGATATAATTTTTTTCGGCACGTACCTAATTTGTACTTTTTAAAAATAGTCAAATTATGATGTCAATTTTTATTAAACTTTAAATTTTAAATATTTTTTCTGAATCCCAAAAAATGTTTTTTCAGGATTTTTTTTTCAGAAAAAAGTGATCCCTAAAATAATAAAAAATTCAAAAAAAGTAGCGATATCTAGATGTCAGAAACATCAAAATGTGTGTAAAATACACACATCATACTGACCAATGGTTTTTAAAGAAATTCCAAAAAAAAAAAATTCAAAAAAAATTTTTTTTTGCAATTCCAATTTTCAATAAATTCAATTTTTTTGACCTATTCGAATTTAACTTTAATTTTCAAAATGTTATTTGGAAATCTGTAGTGGATCACTAGACCTTTTCGTTTTATTTCAATTGAAAGAAGCAAACAAATTTTAAAAATCCAATTTAAACTAGAAATGCTCGAATTTCACTTTTTCAGATTGTTTGAAATTTTCACAAAATATAAAACAACACTAAAGCTTCATTTTCGTAGTTGACAACTTTTTTCTAGCTACTGTAGTTTTTGAGATATGCGCCTTTAAGGTTGGCGCACCTCATCGCTCGGCCGAAATGTCCCAAAAGATCCCAAACGTTAAATTTGAATCTTTTCGTCATTTTTCCGTTTTTTTTTGTTGCTATTTTTCTCTTTTTTGTAGTGTACGAAAAAGAAAAAATCCTGTTCTTTCAAAAGAATCAAAAATCAATTTAATTAAAAAACTAAATGTTTTAATTCAATTGAATGATTTCATTTTTCCTTCTCTCTAGACAAGTTTTATTCAAATTTTCAGCACAAAACATGAGAAAAACGCTGAAAATCGTCATTTTGTGTTCTTTGAAAGATAATTTAGTTTTTCTGATAGTTGTATAAAAAAACGTTTGAAAAATCCCAAAATTTCCAAAAAACTAAAAAAAAAATTTTTTTGTTAAAAATGTTTTTTTCCCTTTATTTTTCATTATTATTCTAAATCCTTTTGACTTAATTTATTATAATTTTTCATTGTTTTTATTTTTTGAAAAGAATTTTTAATTCTTTTTTCCCCAAAAAACACTTTTTTGGTATATTTTCAAAAAATCTTTTGTTTTTCTCATTATTTGCGTTTTGGTACACTCGAGACCTACGAATTTCTTCAGAGCGTAAATAAATAAGTGGAGAAGCACTTCCTGAAAAAATGTATTTAAAAGATCTATATCTTCTTTTCTTTTGAAATTTTCAGAAATTTTTTTTTGAAATTTTTTATTAATTTTTGGAATTTTCGTTAAAATTAAATATTAATTACATTTTTGAATGTTTTCTTTTTGATTTTTGGAATTTTCCTTTTCCAAAATTTTTTTGAAAACCAAAATCTGAAGTTCTTAAATTTCGAAGTTTCCAAAAATTCCAAAATTTCGAACACCGTAAACACTCTAATACAACGCCACCCAAGGTGACAACTTCGAGCCCATGTATCTCATTTTCTATGAGAGGTATAAAAAAGTGGTCTACTGATAAAATGTTTTTGATATTATGATAAACAATTTGTTAGTTGACTGCTTTTTGATAGCTTTAACAGAAATGAAGATATATGAGTTCAAAGTTGATGGCTTGGATGGCGTTCTATTAGAGTGTTTACGGTATCTGAGATTCCGAAAATATTGGAATTCCAAAAATTCCAAAAATTTCTGATTTCCAAAAAATTGGAAATCTCGAAAATTCCACAAATCCAAAAAACCCAAATTTCTGAAAGCTCTGGTATTACAAAATATCTGAAATTCCAAAAATTCTGACATGCTGAAAATTATGAATTCACGAAAATTCCAAAAATTCTAGAAGTTATAAATTTCCGAAAGTTCCAGAAATTCTGAATTCCCAGAAATTCCCTAAATTCCAAAATTTCTGAAAATCCGAAAATTCCAGAAACTTCTGAAATTCTGAAAATTCTATAATTCCAAAAATGAAAAAAATTCCAAAGTTCCAGAAATTCCAAAAATTCTGAAATCCAAAAATCAGAATTTCAAAATCCGAAATATCAAAAATTCAAACAATTCCAAATTTCCAAAATTTTCAAAATTTTCAAAAATCCTAAATTTACAACATTCAGAAAATTCTGAAATTCCGAAAGTTCGACAATTCCAAATTTCTGAAATTTTGAAAATGCTGAAATTTCAAAACTTCTGATATTCCAAAATTTTGAAATTCCATCGGAAATTATGAAATTTCAAAAATCGTAAATTATGAAATTTCAAAAACTGTAAAATTCTGAAAATTCAAAAAGATAAAATTCCAAAATTTTCAAAATACAGAAGTTCTGAAATTCCAAAGTTCCAAAGATTTCAAAAGATTCCGAAATTTTGAAATTTGTGAAAACCCAATTTCCAAAAATTCTGAAATTGTAAAAACTATGAAATCCCAAAAATTTTTTCGAAATTCCAAAAATTCCAAACTGATCAAAAATCATCATTTTTTCCCAATTTTTTTTGTTTCCTGATGTCTAAAAAAGTTTAGCAACTTGTCATTTCCAAATGAATTATTACTTCTCGATCTCTCATTTTTTCCCTCTAAAAAGATAGAAAATTGCACAAAGTTCATGTTTAATTTTTCATTCAAAAATAGCATCATTCAATTTTTCTGTCCCAATTTTTCGTAATTTTGTTTTACGTAAATTGACATTTCGCCGGAAAATGAATAGAAAAAAATGTAGCCATGCGGAAAATTTGATTGTCTGGGCACAGCAGAGTACGTGACAAAGTGTTCCTTTTTGTTGTTGAGTGGGAGTGGGCGGAGTCTGAAAGGGGCGGAGCTTAGAAATTACACACAATTTCTTAATTTCTTCCGAAAAATGTTCGGAAATTCACTTTGAATTCAGCACTTCTTTCTAGCTACCGTAGTTTGTGATCTATGCACCTTTAAAGTTGGTACGCCTACCTCCCGCCTGGGGGTGCCGATTTTAAAGGCGCATATCTTTAAAACTACAGTAGTTAGAAACATATTGTCAACTGCAAAAATATGCAGAATCCAATTTTAAACATTTTCGTAGTTGGACAATTTTTCTATCTCTTGAAGTTTTTCAGGTATGCGCCTTCAAAGAGGGGCGCGCCAACTTGAAATGCCCATATCTCAAAAACTACGGTAGTGAAAAACTACAAAAATAAAGATCAAA